GCAGGAGGAGCAGGAGGAGGAGGAGGATCAGTAGCAGGAGCAGGAGGAGGAGGAGGAGGAAGAGCAGGAGGAGGAAGAGGAGAGGGAGGGAGGGGGGAGGAGGTGTAGGGGGAGGAGGACGGGGAGGAGCAGGAATAGGGGGAGGAGGTGTAGGGGGAGGAGGACGGCGTTATTTGCCTGTCATATCACAACAAGTGCAACATCATGTCAACTCTGAATGGAAGGATTCTTAAAGCAACTACATGTCAACACAAGTGCCATATAATCGGCATTATCTTGGTCTTGGGATCCTCTGGCCCAGTTCGCCCTCAGCGTTTCGGCGTGTGGTTGGCCATCCTCTTCAGGACCTGCCACAACCAACCACACGGGGCAGGCCGACGCTGTCACGAACGACATCCTTGTTTCCTCTGGGACTCCTTCGTACACACCAAAGTTGCCAGAAGATGTCAAGCAAAGTCATGGAAACTTGCTGTGTTGGCCTTCAAAGAAGGGAGGAAACAACTGCCCCCTCTTTCGTGACACCGTCGGCACCTGGCGGGCTGGCCGCAGGTGCCCCCTTTTTCCTTGAATGTCTGACCCCCCGCCCCCGTGACCAGAGCACTGACTGGAGCACAGGACGGCGGAGCCGACTTCACAGCAGGCATGCCGGAATCTCTCTGCAACACGCGCAGGCATGCCGGAATATCTCTGACTGATGGGAAAAAGGCTGCGCCGCCGAAGACGAGCTCCTGTTATTTGCTTGTTTTATCACAACAATTGCAACATCATGCCAACTCTGAATGGAAGGATTCTTAAAACACCTACATGTCAACACAAGTGCAATATGATCGGCATTCTCTTGGTCTTGGGATCCTCCTTTGGTCTCGGACTGAGTATGGCCAACTTCTCGGGCACCCCTGGTCCAGTTCGCCCTCAGCGTTTCGGCGTGTGGTTGGCCATCCTCTTCAGGACCTGCCACAACCAACCACACGGGGCAGGCCGACGCTGTCACGAACGACATCCTCCTTCGTACACACCAAAGTTGCCAGAAGATGTCAAGCAAAGTCATTGGAACTTGCTGTGTTGGCTTTCAAAGAAGGGAGGGAACAACTGCCCCCTCTTTCGTGACACCGTCGGCACCTGGCGGGCTGGCCGCAGGTGCCCCCTTTTTCCTTGAATGTCTGACCCCCCGCCCCCGTGACCAGAGCACCGACTGGAGCACAGGACAGCGGAGCCGACTTCACAGCAGGCATGCCGGAATCTCTCTGCAACACGCGCAGGCATGCCGGAATATCTCTGACTGATGGGAAAAAGGCTGCGCCGCCGAAGGCGAGCTCCTGGAGAGCTTCGGCTGATAACCCGTTATTTGCCTGTCATATCACAACAAGTGCAACATCATGCCAACTCTGAATGGAAGGATTCTTAAAGCAACTACATGTCAACACAAGTGCAATATGATCGGCATTCTCTTGGTTTTGGGATCCTCCTTTGGTCTCGGACTGAGTATGCCCAACTATTCGGGCACCCCTGGTCCAGTTCGCCCTCAGCGTTTCGGCGTGTGGTTGGCCATCCTCTTCAGGACCTGCCACAACCAACCACACGGGGCAGGCCGACGCTGTCACGAACGACATCCTTGTTTCCTCTGGGACTCCTTCGTACACCAAAGTTGCCAGAAGATGTCAAGCAAAGTCATTGGAGCTTGCTGTTTTGGCTTTCAAAGAAGGGAGGGAACAACTGACGGGGAGGAGCAGGATTAGGGGGAGGAGGTGTAGGGGGAGGATGGTGGGGAGGCGCAGGAAGAGGCGGCGCGGCGGCGAGCAGGACACGAGGGAGGAGGCGCTTGGAGTCGACGTGCGCGCTTGCACGCGCCGCGCGGTCCGAGCGGCGATGATGGAACGCTGGGCAGCCAGCATCAAGGGCAGGCGAGGTCTACGAACGGCACAGGGCTTACTGCGACTCCTTCGACTCGATTCGATGCGATTCGATTCGATTCTTTATAGCTTCCAATTTCGATCCGATTCGACTTCGGATTCCAACTCGGGCTCCGACTTCTCCACGGCGGCCTACGAGCCTGCCGATTTCCGCCGATTCGACTTCTCCCGACTCGGCTGCCGGCTTCTGCCGATCCGATTCATTTCGAGCGCCGATCCGGCTTACCGATTCGACTCTGGGCTATCTTGGCGGCTGGTTTGAGTCGTGTCGACGCAGCGGCAAGCCCCAGCGTGGCGTTGAAGGCCAATGGCCAGGAGTCGTCCGACATTGACGGAACGATCGCGCCATCGGAAAGCTGCGGTCGCCCGAGATTAAGCGATCTGCGCAGTGTCAGAAACCAGCGCAGAAGTCGCCACGACGCAATCTTGATCGGGTCTTCCTTTGCCCACGTTCCGCCAGACCCTCCGGGGGCACACGGGAGCGGGAACAGTGGCACGATTGGCACCACATGGGCCGGGCGAAGTCTCTTTGGGTCTGCGGTCTGCGTGTCCCGACTCCGCTGGTCCCTCAGAGGCGCACGCGTGGCGGTACCCACATCGTGCTGAATGCGCACGCACGTGGACAGCGATCTGTAGAGCTACATGCATACCTACATACATACCTACATACATACATACACACATACATAAACACATACATGCATACATACATACACCTACACCTACACACGCCTACACACCCATACATACACACATACACACATACATTCATACATACACGACGCGTACATAATTCCACACACGCACACACATACATACAATAACCATACCTACATACACATACATACACACATACATAATACTTACATCCATACACAAACGCACATACACATCGACCGATCTACCTATCTACCGACCTGCCTACAACCATACATACAAACGAACCTGCATACATACATGCACGCACCGATTCATACAAACATACATGTGTGCATGCATGCGTACAGCTATATATACTTACATACATACAGCTATACATTCATGCACCCATGCACATACATACACACATATGTATGTATACATACACGCATGCATGCAAACATACGTACACATAATTGCATACACTACTACAACCATGCATACAAGTATGCCATCGTATGTACATGGGTACATGCATACATGCCTGAATGCATACATATTTTAGTACATGCAGACTCATACATACAAACATGAATGTATGCATGCATGCACATACACACACGTACACACATACAGACATACAGACAGACAGACAGACAGACAGGCAGACAGACGGACAGATATACACACATATATATATGCATGCATACATGCAGACACGCACGCGTAAACGCATACACACGTACATGTATTCATTCATTCTTACATACAGACATACATGCGGGCATGCATGCATACACATGCACATAAGTACAGACAGTCATACACACATACATACATACAGACATGCATGCATGCATCCATGCATGGAGATTCATACATACATCCATCCATCCATCCATCCATAACTGCATACATCTACACATACATACACCTGGGAAGGAAGAAATGGGGGTCCCAGAGCGGGGACATTGAATCTTCAATTTGAGAACGGGGCCTTCCGGGCTACTCCCTGGCCTCTGGAAGCAGCTCTAGGGGGCACGAGCAAGCGGCAAGGGACGCCGAGGGCAGCTGCGGTGCCTCCAAGACGGCTCAAGACAGCCGAAAGTTGCTGCCAAGAGGCCCCCTAGATCGGCCCCGGCGGGGGGCCCTCGGACACCGATTCTTCTCGAGAGCGGCAGGGCTGGGTGGCGGGCGGGTTGTCGGGGTCGCGGGGCGGATCGGAGGGGATTCGCGGGGTGTGTCACGGCGGAGTCGCGGGGCTTATCGCGGGTGGGTCGCGGGGCGCGCCGCGGGTGGGTCGCGGGGTGGGTCGCGGGGTGGGTCGCAGGTGCGTTGCGGGGCGGGTCGCAGGTGAACCGCGGGGCGACGACGACAAGAACAACAGCAGCAATATGCACCGCGGAACCTCACTTCAGCCATCACCCAAAGACGGTGTGCGACCGCTCAGCCCCCTCTCGTCAGGACTCGAGCTAAACGGTGTGTTGGCGATGTCGTGGGCCGTTTTCGTGTTGATGCCGTTTCGCAGCAAGGCAGAATGAAGACATAGCCAAGGAAAACAACAACAACAAAACGAAAACGAGCATCACTGCTTAGCTTGAGCCTTGCCTCTCGTTCTGGCCCTACAGCCTGGCAGCAGGGAAGACGACGGGCTGCCCCCCTCCCCCGCTCAGGCAGCAGGCGCAGCTGAGCTGCGACAGGCACCTGGAGTCGGAGTGCATGAGGCCTGCCCCCTCCTTTGGCTCCCTCGCCCCCTCCTCGCCGCCCCCCCCCCCGAGCCCCCACACGCGCCTGATGGACGCCCGGCGCCCTCTTGCGCAGCCTTTCCTCGGGCAGGCCGCGGGGATTTGCCGAGCCGCGGGCTCCAGAGGGGGTCCCATCGGCTCTTGGTGTTCGGGCCCTGTGCATTGGGCTGCTCCTCGCCCTGGGTGTTCCGACGGTGCTTTTTGGGCCCTCGGCGACGGGGCTCGTGCCCGCCCTGAGCGGAGGCGCGCCCAGCCTCGCCCCCGCCTCTGGCGCGCGGGGTGGGGCGGAGCGGTCCCCTGCGCGGCGCGGAGGCCTTTGGAGCGGACCACCGCGCCCTCCTCGCGGCAGGGCTCTGCGGCACTGCTGCTCACCTTGGACGCTTCGGCTCTTCAGGCTGGAGCCCTGCTCGCCGCCACACAGGGCCTGGACAGGCCGTGCTGTCCGGCGGAGGGGGCAAGGGAAGGGGAAGCGCAGGCAGACGGCGACGAACGCGCAGGCGGGAGGCCAGGGCCGGCGGGCCAGGCGGGCAGGCTCGTGCTCGTGTGCAGCCAGGGGCCGGCTCGTGTTAACAGCATCCAAACCCACGGGTCCAGATCGGCAGGCTGAAGGTCGCAGCCCTACTGATTTGACGCGTCCCAGTTGACGAACACCGAAGCGACCGACATTTTCAAGCAGATATCGGACTCCATCGCCAGAAAGTTGATAACGAAGTGCAGGACAGCGAAAAACAAGAGCGCATCAGGAGATATACGTTGCAAAAGCGTTCCCTCGCACAGCCCGCTGGCCTTTTCAAGGAGGCAGTCGCCCAAGCAGTGACAGATATTTCTGGTCGTGGACTTGCGCCGGATAGCAACGCCGTGGATTGCATCGCGAGCTTCACGGGCAGGCAGGAAGGCCGAAGACTGCGTCAACGAATGCACCGGCACATCGAGGGGCAGGGATAAGCTCAAAGGCATGGAGAAAAGCAAAAAAGGGAAATCGCACAATGGGACAGTGGATGAAAAGTTACGGCAAAGGGCACGGCGATAGGAATGCAAAAGGCAAAGGAAAAGGCAAAGGCAACTATTCATAGTCCAGTGGCAGAAGTAAGGCAAAATCACAACTTGGTTGGTGGAAGGCTGAGATATTCAATTTTCGAGAATTCCCAAAAAAACACGCATCCACTGGGGTAGCCTGGTGGATGAACATCGACACAAAGTATTGCCACAGCGCAAAGTGCAACAACAATGGCGCGACGCATGGGAAAAAACAAAACAGCAACCAGCAACAAGGCACCAGAAGAAAATGGACGGATGTAAGCGTGGAAACCCCGCAAGCAAAAGTTCGACGATTTGGAAGCACCGCTTTTCCTGGAATGGACGAAAGGGTGCTCTCAAGAAGACTTTGCATGGATCGAGAATTTAGAGAGCGCCATGAGTTCTTTGTATATGCACAACCATGCGGACAGGTCCGCGCATCGCTATTTTCATCAAGAACTGCCATGGCCAATCGTCTTCAGTCCTACCCGCTAGAAGCGCCGCCCGCTGCCGCGCGCGCCCCCCGGCCCGAGATTGGTCAACGAGGCTGCGCGCAAATTTACGCGCGAGCTTCAGTGGAGGCGCCAGTTTTACGCGAATGGAGAGGGGAGCGGCCCTGCGCGGCACAAGCGCCACTTCTCCTCCAAAGCGCCAGCGCGCCCTCATCCATGGGCCCGAATATCAACGCACGGCGCGGCACATTCGAGCGCGCCGTTCCTTTTCTCTTTGGGCCTGACACGTGCCACCCCTGTGTTGTTTCACATCGTATGGCGAAACAGCTGATGTGTATCACACTGCTTTGGGGTGTGGCACGTGCCACCCCTATGTTGTTTCACACTGTATGGTCCCATGTTGACGTCCAGGATGTGACCAGAACAGGTGCTGTTCCTTCATATGATTTTCGGGTTGACACATGTCACACCTGTGTTGTTGTTGTTGAACTCTCATTTCTGAAGGATAATTATTGTTGATCCCCCCCACAGGTGCATACTGTGTTTTCTCAATCAAAGTGTGCCTCTCGACGCTCGCACCCTGTTTTTTGACATGGCCCCCGGGTTGCAACAACAACGGCTCCCGCTTGAGACTTCCTTACAATTTAGCCAGGACCCCCGCTCCCGCCCGAGACGTCCTCACAGTTTATTCAGGAATTGCGCTCTCGCTGGGGACTTCCTTACAATTTATTCAGGAATCGCTCTCCCGGCGCTCTGGAGTCGCGCTCTCGCTGGAGACTTGCTTGCAACTTACTGAAGAATGGCCTTGCGTTGGAATTTCCTGCAATTTGCCCAAGCGCCGCGCTCCCGACACCCAGGCACCCAGGAGTCGCGCCCGTTGTGGCCCCATGTGCATGCCCTTCGTGGCCCCGCTGTCGCCATTTGTGTCCCCCTCACTGTCCTACGTGGCCCAGTTGCTACCCTCAGTGGCCCCATAGTTGCCTTCTGTGGCCCCGCATTATCTGCACTTCGTGGCCCCCGCTCGTTCGCGCTCTTCGTGGCCCCATACGCATTCCCTTCGTGTCCCCGCTGTCGCCCTTCGTGGCCTACTTCGTGCCCTTCGTGGCCCTGCTGTCGTTCTCTCTCGCTCTCGCTTTCGTCGTCGTCGTCGTCGTCGTCGTCGTGGTCGGTCCCCTGTCCGTCCCTCTTGGGGTCGGGTCGACGGTCCGCGGCCGCCCCGCCGATCAGCGCTGCCGCTGGCCAGGCCGACGGTCCGCGGCCGCCCCGCCGCTTGCCGGGGCCCGGCCTGCAGGGAAGAAAGGTATACCCCCCAATAGGGGTTCGATCGAAGACGAAGAGGGCGGCTATCGAGGGTTTGGAAATACGCGTTATCGGACACTCGAGCATATAATGGCGAACAGCCTTAAAATTAGTGTTGGTGTTGTTGTTGTTGTTGTTGTTGTTGTTGTTGTTGTTGTTGTTGTTGTTGTTGTTGTTGTTGTTGTTGTTATTGTTGTTGTTTGATTTCCGCTGGGTGGTCTCATGTTCACGCCCAGAAGATTGGTGAAACAGCTTGTGTTTCTGTGTTTCTTTCGGGGTGACACAATGCGTATAAGAGTACAATTGCTATTGGAGTGCCATTGCCAAATGTACACGTTGCCACAGTAGAACAGGCGAGTACAGTGCAAACAGTAGTAGTGCGGTTCTACCACACCTACTACTAGAGGGCTGTTGCGGTACATTTACAATATGGGTTATCGCGCTGTTCTTATTCTTCTGTTGGCGGGGCCAGATGTGGTGGAACCCCGCGCGCGAGCACCCTGGCGATTGAGAGTTCATTATTTTCCGAAGTTCGAGACGAGGGTTACCGTTGTGCTCGTACTCCTCGCCAGGGATTCGTTCTTCCGCTTAAATTAGAGCCCCTGGGCTCTTCGGCGCGCCCCAGAAGTTTTTTCCTGCCGGATGGGCCGATGGGCCCTATGGGTCCTATTTTGGAGTCACCCAGGTGATTTGATTCGTTGTTTGACGGTCTCAGGTTCCGGCGAGTGCCTTTGGAGGCCGAAAACCGACCACACGCAAGAGTGACCCTTCGCCGGAGTGACCTTTGGCGCTAGCCCAAAAAGGGGTCGGGTGATTTTCTTGTGGGATGAGCTTGACCCCGCGTCGACACCCGCATCGCGTGATTGCGCTCGCATCTGAGCGCGCCAGGTTCGGGCCCACCCCTTGCAATCGACAGCAGCGCATAAGCGTTGCACCCTATAGGTTGCATTGGTTACCCGAGGGGAAGCCGGTAGACCAGTCGGCGCGTTTTCCTGCCCAGGACCAGTCCCGAATCCCAGCCCAAATCCCAAAACGTCTGGCTTGAGCATGTTTGGATATTTTTGAATATCTTTGAATATGTTCGAATATGTTTAAAGAACCATAGGGGGTCTTTACTGTTATAAGGTCCCCAAAAATATTCAGTCATATTCCACGGTCTCGGATGGGGCCGGTTTTGGGCATGACGCCGGGCCTGGTCAGACGCGCGATGCAGCCTGGCAGTGCCAGACCTCGTCGTGGTGGCCCCTGGCAGCGTCTGTTTTCGCAACGCCTTCGAAGGGCCTTTCGGGACGCTCGAACTCGATCGGCGGAATTTCGCGGATGCCCAGTGGCGCAACAAAAACTTTCGAGTGGCGCCCCGCCGATCTTTGACGCGGCGCGGCAACGCCGGCTTGCGCGACTGCGTTGGGCCCCGGGCGCTCCTGGAGCCGCGCGCCAAAGGTCATTCTAGCCTAGGGCCACTCCTACGTGTAGCCGAGAAAAATACGAACAGCTGTCCGCAGTTGTTTCCCAACCATCCTGTGGTATTGGGTCTTCGTTTTGAAGAGACGGTCCCCGCGTTCCTCTCCTGTCTTTCCTCCTCCTCCTCCTCCTCCTCACCCTCCTGTGAAGTTGGGTCCTCTTCCCTGCGCCTCCCCCACCCAGTACAGCGCTTCGTGGCCTCATAGGGTGCTCCACCGAAGGTCCCAGTGGTACCGCCCGCATGCGCCCCCCCCACACTCATTACAGCGCTTCGTGGCCCCATAGGGAGCTCCACCAACAGCCCCAGTGCTACCGCCCGCATGCGTCCCTTAGGGAGCTCCACCGAAAGCCCCAGTGCTACCGCCCGCATGCGTCCCCCCCTCCCACCCAGTATAGCGCTTCGTGGCCCCGTGGAGAGGTCCACGTCTAGCGCCCGCATGCGGCCCCCCCACCCAGTACAACGCTTCGTGGCCCCATAGCGAGCTCCACCGAAGGCCCCAGCGTTACCGCCCGCGTGCGCCCCCCCACCCAGCACAGCGCTTCGTGGTCCCATAAGAAACTTCACCGAAGGTCCCAGCGCTACCGCCCGCATGCGTCCCCCCCAACCAAGTGCAGCGTTTCGTGGCCCCATAGCGAGCTCCACCGAAGATCCTACTGTTACCGCCCGCATGCGCCCCCCCCCCCACCCACCCACCCAGTACAGCGTTTCGTGGCCCCGTAGGGAGCTCCACCGATGGCCCCAGTGTTTCCGCCCGCAGACGTCCCCCTATTACACTTCGTGGCCCCATAAGGGAGCTCCACCGAAAGCCCCAGTGCTAGCGCCTACATGCGTCCCCCCCACCGAGTACAGCGCTTCGTGGCCCCATAAGGAGCTCCACCGACGGCCCCAGCGCTACCGCCCGCATGCGCCCCCCCCCACCAAGTGCAGCGCTTCGTGGCACAATAGGGAGCTCCACCGAAGGTCCCAGTGCTACCGCCCACATGCGTTGCGTCCCCCCCCACCCATTACAGCGTTTCGTGGCCCCGTAGGGAGCTCCACCGACGGCCCCACTGTTACCGCCCCCATGATTTCCCCCCACCCAGTGCAGCGCTTCGTGGCCCCCATAAGGGGGCTCCATACGAAGGTCCCGGTGCTACCGCCCGCATGCGCCCCCCCCATCCATTACAGCTTCGTGGCTCCGTAGGGAGCTCCGCCGACGGCGCCACTGCTACCGCCCGCATGCGTTCCCCCCACCCAGTGCAGCGCCTCGTGGCCACATCGGGAGCTCCACCGAAGAAGATGTTCACAATTGCGGTACCCACAACTGCATATGGTGGGGCCCTTCGCCAGGATATGTTTTTCACGACGCGAGCACGCCTGGATCCGGATCCGCTCCGATCTCGCGATCTCGGCCCCTGGAGCAGCAGGCTGGGCCTGGAGCTGCAAGAGCTGCGGCGGGACGTGGAGCTGCAACGCGCGGAGCTGCAGCGCGCGGAGCGCGGGCCTCGGCGCTGCAGGGGGGCAGATGAGCGACGAAGGAAACGGGTGCGTTGCAGGGAACAAGCGATGGCGTAAACACAAAAAGCCAAAAAGCTAGCAGGTCCGCTCAGATTTCTCGGATCGGTGCTGGAGCCCTCTGGCGGGGCCCCCAGCGCCGCCCCTGGCTCGCTCCGCGCGCGGACCTCCGAGTTTTCATGTTCATTTCATCGTTCGTCTTCTTGCAGGTGAGCTACGAAGGAAAACGGGTTCGTCTTCACCAGAACTGGCGCGTAGGCTGCCCGCCGAAGGTCGCGTGTAAGCGCCTTCGCTTCCAATGCAGCGTGCGCGAAGTCACCGCGTAAGTTCGCATGCCAACTCGCGTAAGACTTGTTTTTCCCAACCATCTTTTGATGTTGGGTCTTCGTTTTGAAGAGACGGTCCCCGCGTTCTCCTCCTCCTTCCTCCTCCCCATCCTCCCTCCTCCCCCTCTTCCTTCCACCCTGCGTTTCACCCACCCAGCACAGCATTTCGTGGCCCCATAGGGAGCTCCACCGAAGGTCCCAGTGGTACCGCCCGCATGCGCCCCCCACACCCATTTCGGTACACCCCTCATGCGTTTCGCATGCGCCCCCCCACACGCATTTCGGCACACCCATTACACGCTTCGCGGCCACAAAGGGAGCTCCACCGACAGCCCCAGTGGCTGCGCTCGCATGCTCCCGCCGCACCTATTTCGGCACACCCCTCACGCGTTTCGTGGCCCCATAGAGAATTCCACCGACGGCCCCAGCAGCTGCTTTCGCATGCGCCGGCTGGACAACATTTTCCACACCCCTCACACGTTTCGTGGCCCTATATGCAGCTCCTCCGAATGCGGTGCATACAACGACGGTGTTCACAATTGATGGTTGGGTCTTTCGCCAGGCTAATTTTTCCGTCTTTGAGGGCGACCAGTTCTGTCGCGGCGCCGGCGATCGCACCGCGCGGGCGGGCCGCGGGCGAGACGCGGAGTTGCAAAGGAACACCTCGGAGACGGGGGGAGGACGATGGCGGCCGCGGAGAGGGGATCGCGGGCGGGCTGAGGCGCTCTGAGCGTGCAGTCAGTCCCTCACGCCGGTGTGGCGGCCTGGGCTCCGGGTAGGATCGAAGAAGAACAAAACGACATAAACACAAATTTTCGGAGCTCCGCGCGGATTGCTTGGATCTGCGCTGGGGCCCCCTGGCAGCGCCTCCGGCGCCGCCTCTGGCGCGCTCCGCGCGCCAGGAAAGTGGGTCCAGCAGATCCAAGAAATCAGCGCGGAGCGCCAAAGTTTATGTTTATGGCGCTTTTGTTTCGTCTTCTAGCTCAGAGCGTGCAGTCTCTCACGCCAGTGTGGCGGCCTAGGCTCCAGGTGGGAGTGGTGCGGAGTGGCGGTTTTGGGATCGGCGCAGCGCGCTCTCCTGCAACTTTGAAGGCGAAGATGCTGGCTCTCAAGCCCTGAGATCTGGGCGTCGCGTTTTGTTTATGCAGGGCGCCTCCGCCCATTCTCTTGGTTGCCGGGCCCTCACGGATCGATCCGGCTCTCTAGAAATGCCGCATGGGGATGCGCCGCGGATTTCGGTTTTGATGTTTCACGATGTTGATTTCTTGGCGACGCCGGATCTCAGGCAAGATCGTTGCCCCCAAACAGTACTTGCGGGACAATCGAAATTGGTACGGAAAGAGTGGGCACAGAGACCGACATAGTATCTGGTTCTTTTTGAACAGGACTCGCTGTCGGTGTCGCCGCGGACGCTGTCCATTTGAGACAGACGGCCGCCTGCCCAACAACGGCCGCTGTCGCTTTTGGGCAACGTTTGATGTTCGGCATCGTACCCATTTTTCCGTACCCATGTCGGGCGCCCGAAGGTCTCAAACATAGAATTCGCGCAGGCAGTGTTCGCCTTCAGTTTGCTTGCCCTCTCTGGTCGGCGCGGGCCTGGGCTCTGCCTCACGCTGCTTTTTGGGGCGCTCCAGACAGGGCTCCGCGCTCGATGGACCCGCAGGTTCGATCGAAGCGAGACGATGCTTCCAACGCGGCAATGGCCCCCGGAGGGTTCGGCTAACTCCGCTCTGGCCTCGTCGCTTTAGCGCTCTGGTCGGCGGCGCTCCGGGGGGGGGAAGTGAGAGGGGGCGGGCCTTCTCAGAAGGCTCGGAAGTCCCCCGGCCTTCTGAGAAGTTTTCTCAGTCTTCCCAGAAGACACGAAAACCTCCCAGAAGGCGAAAGCGGTGAAAGGGCTTCTGAGAAGTCCGCCGCCTTCTTAGAGGGCCTTCTCCATCTCACTTCCACCGCTCACTCGCCGCCAATCTGGACCACAATGCCCACAGTGAAGCACGTCCCCGCCGTGACGACGAATTCTGCGAATGTTTGGTCGTCGGGCTTCTGCTGTTGGGGAGGTAGGGCCCCTCCCTCGATGGACCGGCAGGCTGGCTGCCGACTTCTCCTCGGCGGGAGCCGGCGGAGGGCTGGCGGGAGCCGGCGGAAGCAGAGCGAGGCCGGCTCCGCGGGCGGATGGCCGGCGGAAGTCAAAGAAGCCCCCTTACAAGGGCTGCCAACAGTTTTGGATGCGGGGCTGCTGGAGTAGCCTCCTCCGCTTCCTCCTCCTTCTCCTCCACCTCCCCCTCCTCCTCCCCCCCTCCTCCTCCTCCTTCTCCTCCTCCTCCTGGGCCTCCTCCTCCTCCTCCTTCTCCTCCTCCCCCCCCTCCCCCCCCTCTCCTTCCCCCCTCGCCTCTGGCCGCCCCCGGAAGTCTCGGGCACGCCAGTTGGATCAGCGATGCTTCAAAAAGCTGCCCAAGACCAGGCAGCCGTACCCGAAAGGTGTGCAAGCTCCACTGCCGCGCGGGCGCCGGACTGAGGCAGAAGGAGCAGCAGCAGCTCGCCCTGCAGCAGCAGCAGGAGCCCAGGGCCAGCAAAGAACTGCTTGACCAGCGGCGAGCTGGGTCCAGCAGGCGGTCGAGCTGGCGGCGAGGCGCGTCCGAAGCGAATTGGGCGCATGGCAGGAGCAGGCAGGAGGAAACACGGGCGGGAGGGCCGCACCGGCAAGGGCACCAGAGGCGCCCTCTTTCCCGCGCCCTCCCTCCCGCCTCCAGGCAGGCCCAGGGTGATAGTTCGCTCCAGAGCGTTTTTCGGGGAGCGCTCCCCGAGGGTTCCGGAGCGCTCTGGAACGGCTGCAGCGCGCGACGTGATGCATCTTCCAGGCCCGCCGGCTCTCAGAGATTCCCGCTTCACCCTTACCCGGAATCACAATGTGCACATCAAATGAGAGATCGGTTTGCCAGGAGGTGCTCCACGGAAGAAACGATCCTGGCGAAGGACCCAACCACATGCAGTTGTGAGTACCGTCGTTGCGGGTAACGCCTTCGGGGGATCTCCTCAAGGGGCCATGAAGCATGCAAAGGGTGTGCCGATATGGGGCGGGGCCGCCAGGTGGGCGCTGCCATTAGTGCTTCAGGCGGAACGCACTACGGGGCCGCGAAAAAAGTGAGTGGTGCGCCGCAGTGGGGCGGGGCCGCCACTGGGACCTTCGGTGGAGCTTCCAATGGGGCAACGAAAGAATGCAATGGGCGGGGGAAACGCATGCGAGTACAGCCACCGGGGACTTCGCTGCAGCTCCCCATGAGGCTACGAATAAGAAGCGCTGTCCTGGGAGAGGGGAACGCATGCGAACACCGCCAGAACCGCATGCGAGTGCATCCACTGGGGCCTTCGGTGGAGTTCCCTATGGGGCGCCGAAGCGCTGTTCTGGAGGTGACGAATGCGGGCGGTTCCCCTGGGGCCTTCGGTGGAGCTCCATATGGGGCCACGAAACGCTGCACTGGGTGGGGGTGGCGCATGCGGGTGGTCTCACTGGAGCCTTCGATGGAGCTCCCTATGGGGGCACAAAGCGCTGTACTGCGGGGGGGGGGGGGGGACGCTTGCAGGCGGTGCCACTGTGGACTTCGGTGGGGCTCCCTGTGGGTCCACGAAACGCTGTACTGGGTGTGGGTGGCGCACGCGGGCTGTGCCACTGGGGCCTTCGGTGGAGCTCCCTATGGGGCCACGAAGCGCTGTACTGGGTATGGGTTGACGCACGCGGGCTGTGCCACTGGGGCCTTCGGTAGAGCTCCCTATGGGGCCACGAAGCGCTATACTGGGTGGGGGTGACGCATGCGGACGGTGCCACTGGGGCCTTCGGTGGAGCTCCCTATGAGGTCATGAAGCGCTATACTGGATGGGGGTGACGCATGCGGGCGGTGCCACTGGAGCTTTCGGTGAAGCTCCCTATGAGGCCACGAAGCGCTATACTGGGTGGGGTTGACGCATGCGGGCGGTGCCGCTGGGGCCTTCGGTGGAGCTCCCTGCGGGGCCACGAAACAGTGGACTGGATGGGGGTGACGCACGCGGGCGGTGCCACTGGAGCCTTCGGTGAAGCTCCCTATGGGGCCACGAAGTGCTATACTGGGTGGGGTTGACGCATGCGGGCGGTGCCGCTGGGGCCTTCGGTTGAGCTCCCTGTGGGGCCACGAAACGGTGCACTGGGTGGGGGTGATGCATGCGGACGGTGCCACTGGGGCTTGTTGTGGAGCTCCCTATGAGGCCACGAAACGCTGTACTGGGTGGGAGTGACGCACGCGGGCGGTGCCACTGGGACCTTCGGTGGAGCTCCCTATGGGGCCACGACGCGCTGTACTGGGTGGGGGTGACGCATACGGGCGGTGCCACTGGGGCCTTCGGTGGAGCTCCCTATAGGGCCACGAAGCGCTGTACTGGGAGGAGGTGCGGTGCCACTGGGGCCTTCGGTGGAGCTCCTTAAAGGCCACGAAGCGTGTGAGGGGTGTGCTGAAACGGGTGATGACGATGATGATGATGGAGGAGGGAGGAGGGGGAGAAAGGAAGAAAGGAAGGAAGGAAGGAAGGAAGGAAGGAACGCGGGGCCCGTCTCTTCAAAACGAGACCCAACAACACAGGATGGTTGGGAAATACCCCCCGATGGCCCCAGGCCCCCACAGAAGCTCCGGGGCACCGTTGGATCTTCAGAGATCGACGATGGACGTGCTTTATGATTGTGTATGACAAGATCTCTCATCGTATGTGTCTACTGTTTCCTCGTGATGCGTTCGTGTTTTGCCTCCTCCGCCCATGCCCCTCCTCCCCGCTCTGCCAGAGCCACCTGCGAGGAGCGGCACTGGTCCCTCCAGAAGCGCGGCGGAAGAGGAGGAAGGGGAGGGGTTGAGAGATATCGTTCTCAGACGCTTTTCGCACGCACGTTTTGTAGATGTGTATTTTCAGCACACCAGAGGATTCGTTAATCACCCCGTTGGCGCGTTTGGCGGCTATCCCCGTCTAGTGAGAGCCCCAACATGCCACAACAAGGTGTGGCCCTTCTTCGGTGGTGCGGTCAGCATGCGTCGGTCGGTCCCCAAGCGTTGTGTTTCAGCTTCGCGTAATGACTGCCCGAATGTCTGCCCCGTTTTCGGTCGGGCCCCAAAGGGGCCCGCCCACCTGGCTGTCCTGCGAACGTGGCCGAAGTTGTTCAGGCCAGGGGGGGCACGATTTGTCCGCTCACATGCGGCGTCCAACGGTTGATATTTTCCTACACGCCATCGGTTTCAACATCCCAGGGGGCTTAGCGGCAACGTCGCCCCCAGGGATGTGTTACGACGAAATTGCGGATTAGGTTAACAATCCCACTGAGTGGTATAGCAGCTTCACGCCAATGTTCGCCGTGACGCTGCACCTTGGCTCAAGGTACGATGCTGGAAACATACATCGGGTGGGATCGGAGTCTCAGCGGCAACGCCGACTCCCAACTCACCTTTCCATCTGCGTCACCACTCTTCTCTCCCTCCGACTTGGTATCCCCATTGACCCTAACCTGAGGCACATCTTACCCATAACACCTGCTCTGAAGGTCCATCTTTTCGGGCTCTTATCCCAGGGTGCCGACGAAGCGGAACTACTGGCACATTTTGAGGCCGCGGGGGGACGGGTCTGACTAGACCCCAAACCACAGGTTATCTGCCTAAATTTGCGGAGATGGCACATGAAGCACTTGTACTTCTACAGCTTCCTCATCCGAGCATCTTGGACGCTGTGGACGACGACTCCGACGATGAACGTGAAACCGATCGATCACGGACAATCCTTCGAGAGCGGGCCTACAGGTCTTTGCATTCTCGCCTCGAGCAGCACGTGTTGGTGGTGATCTCCCTCTACCAGCCGATGCTTCGATGAACCTCTCGGCCGAGCTGAGCAGGACCATGACCAAGGCGGAAATGGAGTCTGATCTCGCCGAGGCCGAGCAGCGGCGCGCGGACTCGTACAGAAGCTCCGGGCCGAGGAGGACGGCATGACTGAGTGCATGCAGGCGGCCTGCGCACAATCGATCCGCGAGCGTGAGGCCGAGATGCACGGGCGAATGTTGATGATGCAGGCGGACATGCAACGCGAGCGGGAGCGGGGAGCATTGGAATTGCAAGCTTCCTTGCAAGCCGTGGGAGCGCGAGCACGAGTCGAGTTCCAGGAGTCCGAAGCTAGCGTGCATGCTCGTCCCCAGGCCTTCGAGCACGGCATCGTTGAGGCGGACCGTGCGCAGTCCAGAATCGCTGTCCGGCAGAAACACAATTCGATGCAGGCCGGTCTTCAGGATTCCTTGGCCGCGTACGGGGGCCACTTCGAGGAGCAGCTGGCGCACGAACGTAGGCGATCGGAGGAGTACGAGGTGGCACTAGATTAGCGTGCGCGGGAGCTGGCAGCCCAACGTGACCAAGACTGGGGGCATCGCCTCCAGGAGGTCCAACACGCGGAGGTGACAGCAGTGGAGAATTGCAGGCGGTCGGCCGCTGAGGAGCTGGCGGCCTGGGACGCTGGACATCGACGTGCTGTTGGGAACATCCGCATGGACATCAACTTCCGCGAGACTGTGTTTCGCCAGGAGCAGAACGTTCACCGCGAGATGCGAATTGCGGAGAAGCAGAAGACCGAGGTGGTGGAGCAGCGCGAGGAGACCAGGGTCGAAGCTGAACGGTGGGGCCAGGAGATGACCCAGATGACGCCCATAAGAAGGTCAAGGACAAGCTCCCGGATACCCGCCAGGAGTTGGAGAACTGGAAGGCGATGGCCGAGGGCCGCGAGAGCGTCGGAGCCTCGGCCGCCTGCAGTCTTGGCTACCGCCATGCCTCCACCACCACCTGCACTGGCAGCGCCTGGTCTCCAACGCCCTGGGCAGCTACCAGGAGTTGGGGCTGGCTTTACTATGGGGATGCTCGGTCAGCAGCCGGCTGCTTCTGGCACCAACTTCGTCTCGATGTTACCGACCGTCGTCGACGGGGTCGAGCGCGACGTCATGGTGAAGAAGCGCTACCGCATCTTCACCACGCATGGGATTTTACGGAACGGATCGCGGCCATACGCAGAGACCCTCGATGACGACGATTGCGTATTTGCATCGTGTAGAGGGGCGGCCAGCATTCGACCGCGATGGCCAGGATCCTCTGGGGAGCTCTGGTACGCCCTTCTGCACAGCCGTGCGCCCCTACGAAGGTGGCCACCAGCGGACACAGGGCGAGCAGCACACTGCCATCGAGACCATTCTGGTGCAGCTTGGCGGCGCGGATCGTGAAGCCAAAGTCCGAGGAGGGCAAGAGTGAGTTTACCCTCAAGGCCACCGCCAAGGAGCTGAAAGGCCTGCGCGCGAAGAACACCCGGGATGAGGAGGCGATGGAACTTTCGGATTTACGGAAGGACCCCAGGTACCCAGAGGCGTTCATAGGGGGAGTGTTCGGCATCCTTGGCGTGAAACACGACGAGATGCCAGAGGAGATGAAGGGGTGGAAGTATCGCATTGTGTTTCGCGGCCAAGACGTGCGGAGTAAAACGGGGACGGGTCTCGTAGGTTTGCTCGAGGAAGTGAGCAATTCTCCTGCCAGGTTTACCGCATCACAGTGTGCGCCGGCGGCGGCCGCAGTCACGGGCAAGGAGGCCACGCTGCGGGACGTTGAGCAAGCGTTTCTGCAAGGTTTGATCGACACGCCTGGATGGGTTCCGACATGGACCGAGCTGCCGCGGGAGTGGTGGCCAGACGAGTGGTTTGTCCACGGCGATCGCACCCGGCCTCGTTTCCATCGACCCGCGCGCAAGTTCCGGAGGACTTTGTATGGCCACCCGGAGGCAGGAGCGATTTGGGAGAAAGTTTTGAAATAGGCGTTGGTTAAGCCTGGGTGGGGCCCCGCTGAAGGACATCTAGGTGTCTACGTCCATCGTGATATTGGTGCTTCTATGGTGGTTTACGTCGACGACACGTTGATGGTGGCTGCGAAGCTGCCCATGAAGTTGTGGGCGGAGTTGGACAAGAATGCCACCGTCAAGAAGGCCGCTATGCCTATCTGCCGCTACCTTGGCGCGCACCACCGCCTCGAAGGCCTCGACAGTCCCTCAGGCCGCCCGCGCCGCCTGAGCATCAGCATGCGGGACTACACGACCAAGGCCATCGAGAAGTTGATTTCCGAGCACGGGCGGAAACTACGGGATGTGCAAACACAGTACATCCAAGACGTTGAGTGGAGTGTGCCAGACGACGCACAGGGAGTGTTCAGTATTACGTGTTCCTCCCACGTCGCCGCTTTGCTCTTCCTCACCTGGGTGTGCCAGCCAGACGTGTCGGTTGCTGTTCAACGTCTTTGTTCAGCAGTTGCCGCTTGGAGCACGGTGCATGACCAAGCGCTGATTCGCCTCCTCAACAGCATTTTGAACCTCGAGGTCGTTGGGGAGCTGACCCCTGTGGGCGCCATGGACGTGCGAATCGCAGATTGGAACGGCGACGCGAGCACCACGAAGTACACCAACGGGCTATTCATCGAGCTCTCCTCGCCATCGTCTGGGCGGTGCTGGCCACTGGCATGGCGGAGCACGGAGCAGACGTGCTCATCTAGTTCCACATGCGAGGCCGAAACAATTTCATTATCGAACGGGCTCCGCTCTGAAGCTCTGCCTTTCCAAAATATACTGTAGCAGACGCTTGGTACTCTTCCTGACGAATGGTGCCACGTTGATAACGACCAGGCCCAGGCTGCGGCGCGGAAGAGGTACAGCAAAAGGTTACGACAGTTGCAGCGTACACATCGGGCCAGCATCGGCGTAATTCACGAGTGCCTGAACGATCCTGAGGCCCATGTACACGCTTGCTACCGCCCTTCACGAAGGCCATGGCTGCTGCAGTGTTTGCTTGGCTGGTCTCTGATGGGCAAGGCAGCCGCACATGCTTCCGCGCGAGGCGCATCTCTCAGACAAGCTAGCGTTACGACGGCGAGGGGGGTGTTGAGAAATATCGTTCTCGGACGCCTTGCGCACGCACGTTTTGTAGATGTGTATTTTCAGCACACCAGAGGATTTGTTAATCACCCCGTTGGCGCGTTCGGCGGCCATCCCCGTCTGGTGAGAGCCCCAATATGCCACAACAAGGTGTGGCCCTTTTCTCGGGTGTGCGGTCAGCATGCGTCGGTCGGTCCGCAAGCGGTGCGTTTCAGTTTCCCTCGAGAACTGCCCGAGTTTCTTCCGCGGTCCGTAGGTCAAACCCATCGTCTTTGGTCGGGCCCCAAAGGGGCCCATCTCTGGCTGTCCTGCGAACGTGGCCGACATGTTTCAGGCCAGGGGGGGCACGATTTGTCCGCTCACATGCGGCGTTCACTGATTGATATTTTCCTACATGCCATCGGTTTCAACATCCCAGGGGGCTTAGCGGCAACGTAGCCTCCAGGAATGGGTTACGACGAATTTGCGCATTAGGTTAACAGTCCCACTAAGTGGGATAGCAGCTTCGCGCCAATTTTCGCCGTGACGCTGCACCTTGGCTCAAGATACGATGCTGGAAAATTGGATCGGGTGGGATCGGAGTCTCAGCGGCAACGCCGACTCCCAGCTCGCCTCTCCATCAGCGTCACCACTCTTCTCTCCCTCCGACTTGGCACCCCCATCGACTTTAAACTGAGGCACATCTTGCCCATACCGCCTGCTCTGACAGTCCATCTTCTCGGGCTGTTATCCCAGGGTGCCGACGAAGTGGAACTATTGGCACACTTTGAGGCCGCGGGGGGACGGGCCTGATTTGACCACAAACCACAGGGAGGAGAAGGGGGAGGAGGAGGAAGGGGGGAAGAGGAGGGGCAGGAGGAGGAGGAGCAGGACGAGGAGGAGGAGGAGGACGAGGACGAGGACGGGGAGGAGGAGGAGGAGGAGGAGGAGGCGCAGGAGGAGGCAGAGCAGGAGGAGTGTGAGAGCCAAGGCGAACCTATGGCACACCACGGGTGCTGCAAAATGTCCGCTCGCCCAATAATCCCCACGAGTTATCGCAGGTAGTCGGTCGACTACGCTGAGCGCCCGCTGGAAAGATGAGGGCCATCTTGCCTTCCTCTGGGCCAGGGCCTGGGTAAGAGAGCTGGAGTGGTGACATTCTGGTGGCCCCGCCAGTGGTAATGGATTTGAGGAAGGTTTGGAGAGGCAGAAACCGACAGACCCGCCAAAGGAAGCGGCGGGACGGGAACGGCGAACGGCTTTTAATTGCGACTTGTGATCATCAGCGGGAAGGTTGGGATTCGACCGCAGAACTCGGCGGCGATCCGGGGGGGAAGTCGGGGGGGGCGCGGGCCCTCTCAGAAGGCTCAGAAGGCCTCCCGCCTTCTGAGAAGTTTCCGAAGTCTCGCCCGAAGACACACACGGCGTCTCAGAACGCCGGAGGGCGTTTCGATGCCCCGCCGCCCTCTGACAGGGCCTATCCTTCTCACTTCACCCCTGGGCCCGCCGCCGAATGACGTGGCGAAGCTAACTGAGTTTGAGAGAGGTTCATCTCAAGTTTCGGCAAATTGTTGTTCTGGGCCGAAGCGAGAGCACGACTTCGAAAGGAATCCGCTCTCCATTCACGCAGCCACTGTGGATGTCAAGCTGCGGGTCGTTTAGTTGTAAGTCTGGCGATCACGCGAGCTCAACAAGTAGATGCCCTCCTTCATCCGTTGAGATGTTGCGGGCTACGAATCCGGGCCACACAGTGTGACGAACCAATCGCGAGAGCTGCATTTCGGAAACGAACCATTCTGAACCCATGTCTCAGTCGAAAGTTTAAAGCGTTTGCATGTGCACCGCGCGGCGAGAGTTCGGCTTTGAAGGATTTTGCCCTCCGTGTACGCATGTTGTGGCACTGCGAGTTACAACATCATAGGGCACGGTGACCGTCTAAAGCTAGAGCCAGATGTTGAAAGCGGCACGCCCTCCACTCGCGCAAGTGTTAGACGTGTCAGGCTTGATTCCCCAAGCCGTGCTTTCACTCAGGGTATTTGATTTGTCTCCCTCATGAATTGGTTGGGTCTGGCGACGGTCTTCGCCATGTTGCCGCCCGTTGCAACATCGTTGCCACCTCTTGCGCTGGGTGGGACCAGCGAGGTTCCGCCATGTTGCCGCCCGTTGCCGCACCGTTGCCGCCTCGTGCGCTGGCTGGGTCTGGCCATATTTCGCCACATTGCCGCCCTCTGCCGCCTAGTTGCCACCTCCTGCGCTTGGTGGGTCTGGCGAGATTTCGCCACGTTGCCGCCCGTTGCCACTTCGTTGCCGCCTCCAGTTTGCATCACGTATACTTCACCACATCGCCTGCACCACATAGTTTCCACGCTGGTTGATATGGTTGAATGTTCAAGGCTTCTCAAGTGAGAGCCAGGCTCGAAAATCAAATGTTCCCATTTGCTGCAACCGGTGGAGTGTTAAAGCCATACGGACATGCATGTAAATCATGCCCGTGACAAAAATCATGTGTATATATAGAAAACGGCACGCCCTCCATCCGAGTAGTAGCTGCCATAGCTTTGCAGTCCCATGCGCACACAACTTATGAATGTCTAAAACGATATCCAAATGTCAAATCGATCCGCCGTCCATCCGTACAGATGTTGTGTAAAGAAGTCTTCGGCGAGGCGCCTGGACCGCCCTACTGGCGCGCTTGATGGTGCGAGCAGGAGGAGTTATTCACGGGAGACCGGAACGGAGGCCGAGTTGTGCATAGAGGGCAGCAGCAGGAGGAGGCGAATGAGAAGGAGGACCATGAAGGAAGCAGAAGAGAAATCACGGCCCCCATCATGGACCGCTCGATCCGCCCTGGGCCCTCTGCCCACAGGTCGCTGCTGCCCCGCCCACGTGGGGCGAGGGCATTTAGTTGGCTGTCTTGGCCGAATGTGATTGTACGCGTGGATGTGTTTGAGCCCAGGGTGCACACAGTAGAGTCGCGTGTCAGCCAGTGGCCTGGGAACTGGGCATTGGCTCGGCCGTTTCGTCCTTCAAAAGGCGCTTCGATTGCTTGTGTCCTCGGGCGGGCGGTCGACATTCGAGTGTTTCCATGTGGACGAGGAGCGGGGATATGGAGGTGGCAGTTCTCAGTTCGACTCGGGGATGAGAGCGTCTGGGTGGTATTCTGGTGGTTGCCGTTTGTCACCAGGCGCGGGAGGAACTATTCGGCTGGCCTGTGCTCCAGAGTGAGCGAGGGCATTCAGGTTGAGTCCTTCGGGCCTGCATCCTTTCTGCGACTTTGTCCGCAGCTTGTGTGGCCACCTCGGGCGACTGCGGCGGGCGTGCGGCAAGGAGCTCTCGCTCACCACGTCGCGCCGCCCGTTCTGGCCCAGCACACTTCGGCGCCACACGCTGTCAGCACCCCGAAGGCTTCCAGACCTCCAGTGCGGCTCGTATTCCCGCTTCGAATGCCACCTCAGGGGCGGCACGCCAGCAGCTGCCAAGGCATGGCGCGTTGCAGGGGCCGCCGCCGCCGCAGCGACACACAGGGCAAGAGTTCCTGACCGCAGTCCGCGGAAGATACAGCGCAGGCGGCGGAGCGCAACGCGAGGATACCCGGTTTTCGGTTGTAATTGGGGCCTCTGGCGACCGTTCGATACGTTTCGGGAAAGGCGCAGTTGCTAGGAAGCAGCCCGAGGCGAGAACGCATCCAAGAACCCGCAAAAACGTCAGAAACCTTCCTCCAAAACCATCAGACCTCTGAGGTCAGGGCCGACGGCGACGCCACGGCTGGGCCATCGCGTCCCCAGGAGCAGCAGCACCGCGACCAGCTCGCCGCCACGAGGGCGGAGCAGAGCCTGACGATCGAGGCCCCGCGCTGAGCGACACGTGCTGCAAGCCGCGTTTTTTCCTTTCTGACTAGTCGCAGTGGTCCTGGGTGCGGAGGAGGAGGAGGAGGAGGAGGAGGAGGAGGAGGAGGAGGAGGAGGGGTCGACTGGGCTGGCCAGGATGTGCTCTCCACTTTTCGACTGATGCCCCAGCCCTCCAGCCAGCGCCACCGCCCGACTCCGCGAAGGGCTTCCCCCGGCACGACACAGGCGCAGTCTCCAGTCTCAGGGGCAACATTGGGGGGGGGATAGGCTCAGGGGCAACGCATGGACCCACAATCGCCCAGTCATCGCCGATGGGGGCCTGATGGCCCACCCCGCTCAGGAACGTGGGGTTTTGCTATCGGGGGCTCATCGTCGATTGATCGGTGATGTATCGCCGACTTCAGCTCGGTGTTTCCCCCCCTGAGCTGGTTCCCCTATCGTTTCCGCTCAGACCCCATCCCAATTCCCTCCAACATCAATTTGGAAGCCAGGGCCCCTCCGCCTGGGCACGGGAAGTTGGAGTCGGGGCGGGCTTGGCACACTCGTCTCGGGCGGCCTGGGTGAGAGGACTTGTCCCCACACTGCTTTTCCAATCGCCCTGCTATCACGTTTGGCAACTTTCCCGTGGTTAAGTCAGACGACGGAGACTCACGAAGACAAGAAATGCCTCATCTGCGGAGAGCTTGCCCGGAAGCCACGGCAGTCGCAGTGAAACAGGAAGGTCACGAGGACGACAGCGGACGCACACGGCGCCGCCAACAGGGTCTCGCACTCGAGAAATCGAGAAGTGAACATCCCGCTCTCGGTGGAGGCCGGCGGAAGGCCCCAGGGGCAACGACAGTGGGGAATCGGCAGAGGGGTGGGGGTGCATCAGCCCACAATCGTCAATTCCTTGCCGATCGGGGCATGGGCGTGAACGTTGTGCTGCCCCATCTGTGGCCGATCGCCGATCCATCGGCGATGCATCGTCGACTCCCAGTCGTTGTTCCCCCCCTGAACCCGTTACCCCCTGCCACCAGGAACCCGACCACTTCCACGGAGACGGCGTTTCATCCCAAGTGGTCTTTTGGCGGCCCTGGGGCCCGAACGGCTTCTGAAGCCGAACGCACAATAAAAGCATGGGGGCCGCCAGCCTGGCGAGCAAACGTTCACGAGTCACATGGAAAATAGCCTCCAACAAAGATGAGGACGCGGACACCGCGGACTACGTTGCAACTTCGGGGGATCTCGTCTGTCCCCCAAATTGGTGTCTTTCCCTGTGCTCGACGCGGACTCAATGCGGACCCGACGCGGATTCGACACGGACTCGACGAGTCCGACATGATGCGGACAGGGGCGCGACGGGACAGACAAGGCCCCCCGAAGATGCAACACAACGAGGGGGAAGAGGATCGGCGGCGAGCGAGGGGGGAAGTGAGAAGGAGAAGGCTTTCTCAGAAGGCGGCGGGACTTCTCAGAAGCCCTCGCGCCATTGCGAAGCTTTCTGTTTCTTTGGGGAAGGCTTAGGAAGCGTCTCAGCAGGCTGGGTGGCTTCCGAGCCCTCTGAGAAGGTCCTCCCCTTCGCACTTCCCCCCGGGCTCGCCGCCGAGAGGAGAGAACGAGGACCCCGAGCCTGTGGCTCGAGCGTGGAGGTCTCCGGAAACCTCCACCCCGAGCCTCCACCCCGAGGGGCCCTTCCTGCCTGTTGGCCCTGCGGAGGTCCCCACAAAAGTCAGCATGCAAGCAAGCAAGCAAGCCTGGCGCCTGGACGGCGCATCGGCACAAGGCTAACACGGGCGCCCAGTGCAGCTCACGCCTTCGTCAGGGCAGCGCTGCGCAGACGCTGGGAGTCCAGTGCTGCTTGGGCCTCCCGCGCGGACTGTTCTCGTCCCAGATTCGAGGCAGATTCGAATAGGCGGGTCCGAATACATAGTCAGGGCACCGAGTACATTGGATCGTTTATTCCTCCCCCCATCCTTCCTCCGCCTCCCTCATCCCTCCCTCCCAGGGCCCATCTCGATCCGATCGATTGGTGTGATATATAGTGTGTGTATGAGACGCTCGTACGCCACTCGCCGCCGCTTGGCTCTTAGGGGCCCCTTTTGCCTTGGCTTGAAAACGTATCATCAATCACACTGGCAGCGGAGCTGCTACACGATCTTCGGTATCGTACCACTGCGCAGGGCTCGTCCTCTCGTGAGGAGAGCTCCTCACCTTTTCTTTGCACTGGGCATCCACCCTTACGAGGGGATTGCTTCCTTGCCGCCATGGCGCTGTCTTCCCTTCGCTATCGGTCGAACGCCGACGCGTTGACTCAGTCGGAGACGAAGGGTGGCTCCTACATCTATGATGGCACCGTGAACAACTTTCACGAATGGGAGTTCCGCACAGAGATGCGTATGAGTGCTGCTTTGTCTGCTGTAGATGCAGAGACAGGAGAACCCCAGGCACACGTTGTCACCGCAGCCGTCAACAAAGTTGTAGAAGGCTTCAGAGGCGACGCGTTCGATATGGCCATGGATATCGGTAAGGACGCGCTTCTGACTCCCAAAGGAATCGACCAGCTGATAACGGCGATTCGTGCTTCACTCTTCCCTATAGAGGCTCAGGAAGCCACGATCCTGTTCCAGGTAGGTCAGAGGCCCTACGGCCCTCTGTCCAGGCAGAACGGTGAATCGATGGTATCATACATCTCCCGCAGGAAGCGTTGCAGGTAACGTGGCCACCTTTGACAAGATCAGGGATGTCTTGATCCTCCAGCACGGCCGTATCCACATCCGCCAAAAGGGCAAAGGTGGAGACCCGTCGAGTAAGGGCTCCAACCCCTCGTCGTGGACACAGTATCGGCCCGGCTACCCCAGCAGGAGCAAGGGCAAGGGCAAGACCCGGTACAGCAGGCCGCCCCAGGCCTTCCACGCCACCGACGACGGTTGGTACGAGCAGGAGGAGCACTATCCAGAGGAGCTTAGTCCCTATGCATACTACGCGTCTGGCTATACTCCAGAATACGGCTGGGACGACACGACCTGGACCGACATAGCCTGGATGGCAGACGGGCAGACGGAGGACCAAACTTGGGGCGACGAGGAATCGCACGCTCTCTGGTCACCCGTGCAGGAGGAGAGCGAGCTCGATGGAGACGTGTTTGACGAGATTGTCAAAGCGGGCTACACGGAGGACGAAGCTTCCGAAGTAATCCAAGAGAACCTGGTCGCCAACCTAGGCACCAAGGGAGGTCGTAAAGGTAAAAGCAAAGGCAAAGGTCACAACAACTCAACACCTTGGAGAACTACACTGCCGCCCAAGGGCGGTGGCAAGGGAGCGCCGACCCTGGAAGATCGTAAAAAGCGACTCCAGGATATCAAGAAACGTTCCAAATGCAAGACCTGCCATGAGATTGGCCACTGGTCCGGGGACCCTGAGTGCAAGGGCAAACCCAGGACGGGCTTTGTAGCGTTCACTGGAGAGCGAGAGCTTCAGTTACGCGAGGAAGGCGGCGATCATCAGTTCGCGCCTACAGGAACCATTGCCTTATTATCCACCATCCATCATCATACTTATAGTAGCAATATGTCGCATTCGGGCAAGGTTGCCTTTTGCTCTCCCTTCCCCCCTCACTCCTCGAAGTGTCGCAGGGCATGTTCTTGTGAGGGAAAGGATTGCGATGGTCATTGTTGCTTGCTGTCTGTTTATGAAGAGGAGCACACGTGCAGGGGTTGCATGGGGACCGCTGCTGCTTTGGCCCAAACCAGCCCCTAGCGCGAGCGCGCGGCCGCGACTCTGGAGAGCCCCCAGACCTCAGCGGAGGCTGGCGAGGAGCACTTCGGGTTCATGGCCCTGCGTGCGCCTAGCAAGGCCGCGCCAGGCAGACCCTCGGCCTCGAGGGCTGCTGCCCCGAGCGCCGCCTCGAGGGCGACCGACGCCTCCGACGGGCCAGAGATCTTTTCGATGGCTTCTGTATCGGATGAGGAGTTCGAGACGCCAGATATGGCCCCTGGTCCAGGGCACGATGCGGCGTTCGCTACAGGCCAGCATCGTGGGCTTTCCTATGGCCGAGTGCTGAAGATGACCCCAGAATATGTATCGTGGAGCCACGGTGTGAAGAAGCCGAGTTTGGAGCTGAAGAACTTCTTGGTTTGGTTCGATGAGTACTTTGTCCAGAAGGAGGATGGTAGCATCGGCCGCCGCACCGAGGGGAGCGCCATGCCCTCGGCTAGCTCCAGCGGGACTTCGAGCAGGAAGCCGCCGGATCCGCCGCTGCCTCACCCCTGTGCTCGTGGTTGCACCAGCTTCTCGGGGTCTGGTTCATGGGCACGCTTTATCGTCCGCACCTGCAGGGACTGCGGCCACAAGACCAAGAAGGAGAGATACGAGGCACTACATCAGCCGGATGAGCGCCCTCGCGATCTCGTGGACCACCGGGGTAGCACTGCCGACATTCATCGCACGTTCTGCTGCAAGTGCTTGACGCACATCGATGAACAGCCCCGTGCACTCGCTGAAGACAAGAAGAGTACGGCGGAGAAGGTCAAATTCTCTTCTAACCTCCAGGCGGAGGCGATCGAGGAGGTCATCGAGGGCGACCGCCGTGTATCTCCTGAGGAGCTGAAGGTTGTAATGAAGATGTTCACGAGGCGCGCTATGTCGATCTGTCAGGACACAGGTGATATCAGCACAAGTGAGATGGTTTCATTACTACACGACTGTGTGCAAGAGGCAGCAGATAATGAGCTCACCGCGTTCATGGCACCAACACCAGCACCTTCAGTCACGACCGACACGTCGGCGATATCAAAGCTTCGTTTGGTTGACGTCTTCAAGGATGATGGTGTATGGGCAACCCTGGACGAAGGTTGCAATTCTTGTTGCCATGGAAAAGCTTGGGCCCTCAATGCAGAGGACAAGTACGAGAAGCTAGGGTTCTTTCCACAATGGGTCCACAGAGAGCGGAAATCGCACAGTGGCTTTGGTGGTCAGGCTGGCAGTTCCACGACGGGCAAGAAGTGTTTTCCCTATCG